TTAAAACCTTCTCCACTTTTAATATGTCAGCGATAACCGCTCGAATAGTGTGCGCAGATTAAAGCGGCTACGCGGGGGGAATGAAGGGCACTTTTGCGTCATTTTTCCCTTCCGGCTCTTACACCAAGAGTAAGCTCCTCGGAGGCCATTACGCACACGGAGGGTTCGTTACTCCGATGCTGCTTTCGGTCCGAAACGAATTAGAGTGAGCTAAAAGAGATCCTATCTATCGGCGACAGGTTTATTTCCTCGCTTCAATACCCTATCCATCGTTTGATTGCAACTGATTGAAAACAAACACCGATTAATTTGATTAGGTGCTGTGCTGTTCGTGTTCACTTCAGAGGATTACACTTTTCAATCGGGTCATATTACTTCAGCCAGGTCAATAGCCGGCTTTCAATGTGCCTTCTAATCTTTATCAGGCTTTATTTAACTGAGCTATCTTGAACTGATCACGAATCCAGACAATATCGATTACATGAACCATTTGTTGAATTTCAAGGCAATTTCGGTTTTCTCAAATTTCCGATAAAGTATAATGTTACGAATATAATTAACATTTTTCAATGTTATTTAATATCAATACATTGATGTTTAAGGGTGAGTTTTTTATATTTTCCTTTTGTTACTACAATCTATCGCATACAACAACAATAAACAATATGTTTAACAACACAAGAAAAATAATAACAAAAATAAGACGGTACGAAAACCATGTTAATGCATGGTTAGTACGCTCTTTATTCCAACATGGATAGTTCTGGTAGGTCCTTTCGCTTCAATCTTTTAATAGTTGCCCGGCGCAACAGATTTTTGCAAGTCGGTGTAGATGAATTTGCAGGTACTTGGTACTTCGCTGGGTAAATACTTCTTTTACAGTAAGCATATTGAGGTCTTGATGTAAGATGTAATTAGGTATGAACCAAGGTGCGTTACATATTTGACGAAGGACTTTAGACTGAAATCACTGCAACTGTAAAATATTTAATTCGTTAGCGGTGCCCCATAATTGAAGTATATACAGTATATACCCAGTATATACAGGGTGATTTATTAGCTCACCATTAAACTTCGACATATGATAGCTAATCCAATTACCAAAAAAAAAATGTTAATGAACACATGTTCTATTTCAATTATTTACGAAATTATAACACTTTAAAGTTTTAATTCTTATATCATAATTAACTGCAACATTTTTTAAAGACATAAATATTACAAATATTGTTCAAAATAGCCTCCTTCTGTTAGAATACATTCAGATTTCTTATTTCAGTAGCAGCCATTTGTATTCTGTTTAATAACTGTTCTCGTGTGTTAATTTCCACTTGATACACAATTTGTTTCATATGACCCCATAAGTAAAAATCTAATGGATTAAGGTCGGGGCAGCTAGGTGGCCAAGCAAATGGACCATTATTACCAATCCACTTGTTGGAAAAATATTGGTTTAATCACTCGACAACTACTCTTCCGCGATGAGGTGGGGCACCATCGTGCTGGTACCACATATTTTGAATTGCATTAAAAGGTATATCTTCAAGTAAATCAAAAAGGGTATTTAAAAAAAAAACCTGTAATTTACAGCGTTCAAACGTCCATCAAGTACATGCAAACATAGTAAATTGTTGTTAAATATTCCACCCCAAACGTTGATGCTGAAACATTGTTGAAATTTCCTTGGTCTAATCGCATGCGGATTTTGTAATGCCCAGATATGTTCATTATGGTAATTATTTATATCATCTCGTGTAAAACATGATTTATCTGTCCAGAGAACATTTGAAATGAAGTCATTATTTTGGGCATGTTGAAGCAATAACCATTCACAAAATGCTAACCGTTGCTGATTATCTCCTGGCTGTAGAGCTTGAACATTCTGTTTACAAAATTTTGACTTACAGATGTGTTGTGTGCTATTCTTCGAGTGCTGATGAAAGGATTATCAATGACAGCATCAATTACAACTTCTTCATCCTGTACATTAACTACATGCGATCGAATAGCTTTTGCTGGAGCAGGATTACCTGTTTCTCGAAGTCTTCTGAAAAAAGCACTAAAAACTGAATAATATGGCAAATGACGCTGTGAAAATCTTTCTTGATATTTTCGTACTGATTGTCGAGCATTTCCATTGCAAAAACCATACACGAAAATTATATCAGCATACTCTTCAGTGCTATAAGCGTATATTTTGAGTTTCTTCTTGTATGTAATAATTAAACCTTCCAGCAAACTGACATATTACAATAACAACTTTGTTTTTGTTGAATGTTTGATTTTACTGACTATTAATAAATTCGCTGCAGAAAACTTTAAAGTGGTATAATTTCGTAAATAATTGAAATAGGACAATAATATGTTCATTAACATTTTTTTTGTAATTAGGTTAGCTATCATATGTCAAAGTTTGATGGTGAGCTATTAAATCACCTGTATAAGCAACTTATTGTTTAAGCTGCGTTGGGACTTTCTATTCATAAACCAGTGCATTTTCCTGTATAACTGTAATAGTTGAAGCCGTTTGGGCCAAATACGTTTTTTCCAGGTTAGGCGATGATCCACGCAAATTCCTTGGTATTTGATTTCATTTTGAATAGGTAATGGAGGATTGTTTTATGTAACAGTAGAACAGATTCCCTTTTTCAGAGTGAATGTGATATGAGCGAATGTTCCAGCATCAATAATATTGTAGGTTTTGGGATGCCATTTCAGGAGATGTATGAGTAGCCATAATTACAGTGTAATCCACGTATGTAGCAATCATAGTGTTGTTTGTTGTAGGCATTTCGGCTGTGTATAGAAGATATAGGGTAGGCCCCAAAATACTACCTTGAGGAACTCCAGCATGTATCGGTAGCAGCGGCGAATATGCGTCATTTTGTTTAATGAGAAAGTATCTCTCCGTCAGATATGATTCCAATAGTGTACATACGTAAGGTACATAGGTTATACATAAGGTAGATAAGTTTTAAGTTTGGCTATAAGACTGTAATGCTATACACCATCGAAAGCCTGCGACACGTCTAAAAAAGCTGCTGTACAATATTTTTTGGCCACCTCTCACTACTCTGTGCACTTATTCTATAGTACCATGCTGTCTTCTAAACCTAAATTGATAGTTAGGAATTAACTTTTTGTTTATTATGATGCTCTGAAATCTCTCCAATAAGAGCTTTTTGATCTTCGAAAGCAATGGAAGTAAACTTATTGGGCGGTATTAAGTCACGTCTATCCTGATTTTATTTGGTTTCAGCACCATACTTATCTGGGACACCTACCATTGTATGGGGAGTGATCTTTGCGATTGCGTTGAAGATAAGCGTGGAATATGTTTGAGAACCAATCCATTTATAAGATTTGTTTATCGGTGGACCTATTACATAGAGGCGCCCAATGAAGTTACATTTAGTTTTTTATACTGGGATAATTCTGGGTAAGGTTGAAAGACGTTATGCAGGTGATCCGCACAGGTGTTTGCTTTCTCTTTGTTACTTCTTGCCCAGTAACCACAACTTTTTTTAATGGGCGTATTAACAATTTGTTGGTATTTAAATTTATTTGTTATTCAGTAATTGCTTTCCTTATCATTAGAGAGATTACTAAGAAAATGGTTAATGTTTTCGTTTTTAAAACATTTTAGAGCTTATTTCAACAGACGAGTAGCCCTATTCAGTTTTGTTTTAGTACCAGGCGATCGAGTTGTCTGCCAGGTATTTCTTAATATTCTTCTCTCCAATCATCTTGTTAATATCGCGTGGATAATGAATTATTTTATTATGATGCTTGGGTTGAGGAGTCGATATCCATTCAGCTTTTTGAATACATTTTGTGAAGTCATTTATCGCGTTTTCGATGTCCGTTTCATTTTTGAGAGGAATATTCAAGTTATTGAGTTAACAATCGTATTCCGGAAGATAGTCCAATTAGCCCTTTTTTTTGTTAAGTTAGGTGACTTGGGTACGAAGTGTATTTTAATGTCTACGCCGACAATGAATGATGAGCGGTCGGATCAAAGGTCAAAATACGGGTATATTTTCAAGTAATTTGTAGAAATCCTCTTAATTACACAGAGTCAATCAGATCGGGTACTTTTGACATATCGGAAGACCAATAAGTTGGTTATTCTGTGGATAATGTTATTAACTTATTTTCTTCTATAGTTTTATACAGACTTCTTAAGTCTCAGTTTGACTTTTTTTTAAGTTAAACATAGTTCAAGGAGTAGTGTTTCCTTGAAAGCTGGAAACACGAAAAGTATACGAGTATAGGCAAATTGGGTGGTACAAAGCGAGGATATTGAAACTATCTACTACAACGTAGAAAGAGATGTTGAGCGACCGCCGATAAATAATGCATGTCGTGTTCCATTGGGACAGTATCCTTGTTTTGAATCCCGGACGACCGACATTGACGTCGCGCTTTGCGATTTAAGTATCCCGAGTGAACGGTTTTTGCGAAACGGAATTACGTGCACGTTAGCCGGAATAATCGTTGCCGTACACCCGCTTTTCTACAAGAGAAGACGACGCAGAATTAGCTACAGAGAAATAATCCGTTAAAAGCAATAATTTACCCCGAGCACGTCCCTGTCTTTAATTTCCATTTCCTTCCCCAGAAGTTCTCTCGTTTCACTGTCCAATACAGACGGGCGAAGAGAGAACTGCGATTGTGACCGTTTTTCAAATGTTTCCTTTGCTTCGTCTTCTTGAGCTATTACTCTGGGCAATAAACTGTGATGTAGAAAACGATTTTCCGGTTCGCGCAATGACAAATAATTACAGTAATGGGTAGCGAATGGAAATTATACGCGGCTGGACAATCGATACTGAAACAAGAGTCCGAAATTTGGAATGTCCTGTACTAAACGGGCTGTTTGACTGAAATAACCGTCCCATAAAATTTGACAAAGAGCTGCAGTGCGCAGTTGGCGTCGTTTAATCAGCGAAACAGGGTCGGATTAACGCTACAAAGCGAATGAATTGCGTGTTACTTACGCAGAACTTTGAGCCGGATCTCTTTAGCCTTTACTTCCCCGGTATTCTCTTGTGTGGCTTTGCATATATAATCTTTCGGGTCCCGCCAGGAGAGGTTGCGAATAAGCAACCCATCGCCTATTACCTCAAATTTCGGTCCTGTAACAACCAACAATTTCCTGTTTAGCAAACAACATTCTACGTAATACAAACAAAAATAAAAACTTTTTTACCTTTAAGCTCGCCACCAATCACTGACCATGTTATGGTGGGATTGTCACCGCCCTGAACTTCACACCTTAAAGTGACATCCCTCTTCTCCTCTCCGATTTGAGTTGGAGACGTGTCGACGAAACTTAGCGGATCTACGAAACGAAATTAGCTAATTAGTTACGAAACGCGCAAGCGAAGTAGTAGTCGACGTTGGCATCTTAAATCCGGCCGCAAAACTTGTCGCTTTGGGACAAACCGTTCTATGGAATTCAGTTGTGAAATAGTTCGGCTACCCCGACTATGGTAAAGTTCCCGACCACTGGGCAGGTACCTATCGTAGAACGCGGCTTTACAGATTCTCTGCGATTTTCCGCCTAACTATCCCAGGTATTAAGCTATTTACCACTACGTCGAAGTTGACGTAGATGGCTTGTCGATATTTTAAAATTTATCAAAGCTATTTCAAACTCGTTGACAAATTTGAATTATTCAGATTTTATTCAGTATTATTAAAGGTGGAATTTAAAATTTTTCAATTACTTTTTGTTGGTAGAGTATTATTACATATTTAGATAACCAATTCGAGAGAATTGAAATAACTCAATACTCTCGACCATTAAGTGGCCTGGAATATGCATGAGTTTATTGAGCCAAATCTAATGGAGTACCACACGTGATTGCATTCGTATGATGTTGAGTGGTAAGTGCACCGTAGCAAGATATCTTGCATAACGGGGCTTATTCTAAAGCTCTCCTAGTTAATTGCAGCAATACAATTAATATTGTTTACATTAATAATCCCTATTATTACATATTGTTCCATAATATGTCGCCCAAAATTGATTTGACTAGAAATAATAACCAATTATAGATCTTTGTTGTGGTTGAGTTTTAAATCAATATTGAAAGTTCAACAATAACAGATACTATAGCTGTCATAAACGATAAAAAATAAAACAATGCGTTTCGATTCAAGTTTAAAATGGAAAAGAGAAAAAAATCATCGATTCGAAATGAATGAACAGGCTTTTGGGGTAGGTAGGAGTGGAACACACTTCAGTATTAGGGTGTCAAAACGGCAATTGATTGAAATGCGATCGCGCGCGAAGTAAAATTTTGATTGAAGGCTGCATTAGCGATGATAGAGAGCGGTAGGATTAGTGCCGATCTGCGCCTCGGTAGGCTAATCTTTTACTCATTTTTATTTCCAGGCAACAAATAGCCCATCGATACGCTTGGTAACCGAGTTCAATCGACGTCATCTATATTTCAAATGCCCCCAGGACAAGCGCCATATCGAGAGTCCCTGTTGTGAGGATTATTCTTGATCGAAACGTTTTCGAAATACGATTTCAAATTATGTAATTACATCACAATACATAATTATGCTACCATAAACAATGATTGATAAATAATACTTTAATTAAAAACCAACAATTAACAGATTATAGTCGATTATTAATTTACTTTATTAATTTAGAGTGAAGATCATAAACAAAAACAGTTCATTTTGTGAATTTCGAACAAATTTAAAACAATTTTTTTGCTATTAAACGTTATTGTTGAATTTGAAACTACATATTTTAATCACTCTCTGGAAAACCAGCTTGAGCCCCAACTTTTATAAACCACTTGTTTGAGCAAATATTTAATGGTAGTATCCGGGTATCGAACCGGAACTATACAAAAAAAAATACGGAAATAAAAAAAAACGGTCATATTTGATGGAACAAAAACATGAACCGAATCGAAAATAAATCAATTTATTTCGGTTCAACCGCATTCTCTTCAAACGAGCACGATAAACAGTTTTAGTTAAGGCCGTCAATATCGATTCAAATTTCAAAATCGGTATTGCAGTATTAATTACTTTGAAAATCAGGAAATTGGTATATGTTTAATGTGTACTTAATACTCAAAGTTTAATGTTTGTTAGTAGCAATATTATTACAGTATGTACCACAGGTAACTTTGAATTATAAATGAAATTTCGACTGTGTTATAACGATCTATTTTAAATGAAACATTTTTTTATGATATTCCAAAAATGTTTCGTTAAATCACCAAATTAACTGGTTTGAATGAGTTGGATTTTAATACATTATTATAACATTTATTGCGCTTTAAATGGGTTAAATTTGTATGTGAGAGTTTTTGGGCGGTTTATTCCAATAAATACCTTTTCAGTGAAATTCGGGATTTCGGAAAATCGTTTAGACTCTGTATTCCAATGTTAACCCGTCGAAGAAAGGATAGAGGTAAGTAGGTTACAGAGAAAGATAAATGAACAGTAATAATTTGTAAACCTACATACAACGAGACGGTCGTTGCAAATTGTAAAAGTTGTTGTTGGTAGTTTAAACTTCTCTATTAAATTTACTTGATTTAAAGTTAGGAATGAAAACCAATTTGGTTTTCGGTTTTATGTAACACTTTCGCAATGGGAAACGATTAAAGTTGCTTTTTTTATCCATCAGACGAGAAACGACTCGAATCGAAAGCTTGGATGAAATGTTTGCGACGGGAAACGATCGCACTTTGATAAATGCGTGGCTATATGATGATCAATAGTAACCACATTTAGCGCTTATTCGTTGCACAATTTACTCCGAATTTGCTTTATTTCCAGTTCTATCATCAACCGCACCTATTTCACAAACCCGTACTATGTGACTAACTGTAGATAAAGCTTTTGTGTAGAATATGTTTCTGCGACCAAGAACTACTCTTCAGTATTAGCATCTTTGGGTGATCTAGCTTGAAGTTGTGTAAATTAGAAGAAATAATTAACTTTATGACCAACCCTTCCATTTCTCGTTTGACCCACTTATTATTATTACAATATCTTTCTATGCGTTAGGGCCAAACATTATCTTCATAATTTTAGAACATCTTGTTAGAGATCTTGTTATGGAGGCTCATAGCAATAATGAACTACTTTTTCAGTGGCGGAGGATAATGGGAAAGAAATGGAAAGAAAGATTTTTTATGAGAAGATGGAAGAAATGGATTGAGAAAAGGATAGCAGGAGCGATGGAAGCAGGGAATGAAGGATACACTAGAGCTGTTAAGAGGGGTACGGGAAGCAAAAAGGGTCTGGTTGGTAGTGGAGGAAAGCTGGACGAGGGAAAGGGCGCGAGTAAGAACATTATCATAGTTCTATCCAATATCGTGTATAGCGGGGAACGGATATGATGTGGTGAAGAAGCTAGAAAAAGAAGACACATGGAAGGAGGTAAAGTTGAAAAGGATAACCAGGCTGAAAAAGAAGACGATATTAATATAGGGAGACTCGGGGAGGGATGATGAATTGGTAAGGGAGAAGATCGAGGGGCAGGATGTAACGATGTGGGAACCAGCCATGGTTTGGCCTAAGGTTATACTCTATGGTGTGGACAGTGAGATGAGCGAGGGGGTTATGTTAGAACAGTTGCGGAGTAAAAACGTGAAGCAAGGGGTTGGGATAGCTTGGGATGACTTCAGAAAGCAAGTCAAAATATTATTCAAGACTGGCAGAACGGAAAGGGGTGTAGTAACTTATGTCACGGAAGTGTCAGGGAGGGTGTAAAGGGAGATTACAAGGTTTAGATTACTGATGTTCATTGACTGCTTTCTTTGAGCGATTGCTGGTACATAATTTCGTCACATTATTGTGTCTCGTATTGTAGTTTCTTTATTAACATCTGACATGCCGATGTTATATCTTGTATGTTCACCAATTTGTCGCAATAAATTGGGTACCAATCGTTGTCTAAATTAAGTGTGTTCATAATACGTTTTCGGTAATATTACTTGGTCGTGTATTTTACAGGTATGATTCTCTGTTTCAGTTGTCGTTGTTTGAGCCATTCACTCGATGCTTCAAGATCATTATGAGATTCTGGCGAAATATCATGTTTATGCAGTGCCTTAATCTTTTAGTTGTTTAGTCTTTGTTATACTCCAATCATTACATCATCAGCATTTATGTTATGTAAGTTTAGTAGACTCATGTCCAACCTCGTAATCTTTTAGTGAATACTATTCTTTGTCGTCATTTCGTTGAAATATTTCTTCATTTTTGTGAATTTGAAATGTGAATTTAAAAATTTTCGGTTCTGCGGCTTTCTTTTTATCGCGAGTTAACTGAAAAATGTATCCGACTTTCGAGGTTCCATCTAATCGGAAAAGATTGTGCTGGTGTGTTCTAGACAGGACGTCGCCCCTTTATTTCATTATGTAGGTAAAATAAAGGCGTGACGTCCTGTCTGGAACGTACTTCCCCCCTCTCTCGACATAGCTTAAAAAACCGCGTTAAAATCCACCCAGCCGTTTTTGACTAAGGGAATATTAAAAAAATAAAATATACCCTTCATTAAAAACACATCAGTCTACCACTTGTTCAAATTTGAAATTTGTTGGTCGGATAGTTTTTGAAAAAAAAAATCGTAAAGTGGATAAAGTTGCCAGCACCCTCAAAAATCTACTAGCTTTCATCATTTCATTCAGCCAGTACTTTCATCATTTGCCTGGCGATAAAAAGAAAACTGCGGTGCCGAAAATGTTCAAATTCATATATATTACGTAGAAATGTCCAGTAATTATTATTAATTATTATTAATTTCTAAAGACTTCGGCTTGACTTTTGGCACGGATAGTAGTCTCTTTCTCCTTTCTTTCTTATGATGTTCATTCTAACCATCCACCTTTTAGAACGGTACATTCAGTATCTCGTTAGAATAATCCTGATGTTTCGGCTAATGGCATCTTGATTTCAGTCACCTTTGGTATTAAAAATTAAGCTGAAATTGTTCTGTTCGTAAAGGCGGATAGATAAATTGGCGCTGGTTAGTTATGCCTTAAGCAACTTTTTCAGTCTCTCCTCGAATTCTTTTATGGCATTGTCTGTAATTATCATCTGTTCTGTCTTTTGCTTGAGCAATTCTGAAATACTTATACGTCTCATCGTGCAACACCATCTGTATTTGCTCTATTGCTTATTTTTGTCGCCTTATCTTCAGCCTTTCCAGATTTGCGATTCTACATGTATGCATAACACTGTAATATTCATTCCAATACAACTCTATCTTCTTCTATACGTTAGTTTTAGTCTCTGTGTCTATTAGAATTTGTTTTCTACCTTATTTGGGATTATGACAGTAAGCAGTTTATATATAGTAGATCCAAACAATGTTAAAAATATCTACAAGCGTTTAAATTAAACGATCCTCTCAGATCTTTTCCAGTTCTGTACTTTCACCAATGCTTAAATCCTGAATGATGTTTTCACATCATTTCCGTTTTCTTTACACAGAAATTATTTCTATCTGCGTATGATATACGGTATAAAGATATTACAATCATTTGATATTATTTTATAAATTTTCGCTTAATAACAAGTTGTTTCAAAAAGTTTTATTGAAGTTATATTAGTACATCATGTTAAATGCCACGTTGTGTAATTTAAGCTTTGATGAAGCTTGTAAACTGATTAGATCCATAAAATAACTTACCTTGAACTATAAGATGCACAGTTCTAATGATTTCAGATTCAGAACTGCACGTGTACACGCCACTGAAGCTTTTGGTGACTTTAGTAAAGTACAGGGATAGGCCGTAAGATGCAAAACCAACGTTAGGTTCTGTATTGGGTCCCAAAGGACCTTTCGGTCCTCGCCAAGTAACCAATCTGCTACTATTGTCTTTACAATTAATTATGAAAGATTCGCCCAACTTCTTTATCACTTCACCCTGTGAGTCCGTGGCGATGGCGAATCCTGAAACGAAATTATAAAGGTTAGTTTATTTATGATTATCATTGATTCGTTGGAAGATTGCATCGATTGTTTTACTTCAACCTTTTTGTTAAATGAAAATTTCCATGAAAATGTAATAAATTACTATGCGCGCTAGGAATGTTGTTCTGCATAAAGTGTGGGATCTGCGTTCAGTCGATATCAAAGTGGTTATTGCAGATACATTTAAAATGACTATAAAAGAATAAATATGGCGAATTATTCCAACCTAGAGTGATATTTATCGATTACGTCAAAACAAGCAGCGATGTGAGGCCGGGTAAAACAGCATTTACAATGCTGCGCTTTCCATATTTGCCCGGACAAACACATCGTCGGCAGCGGCACTCCCTAATTGAATATTGGGCTTTTCCGCCGGGCCTGAAAAGCGTCGCGGTGCCCAGTAATGACCGACGATATAAAATAAAATTAACGAAATTGTGTAATTTACGTTGCCATCCGTTAGTTTGTTTGTAAATTATCGCTCCGATCGTGTCCTGTCGGCAAACAGTTGTAAATAACGCCGGGTTTGGGGGAAAATTACAAAATCGACCATTTAGATTGATCGCATAAAACAAATATCTTGCTTTTTTTATTTCGTAACCTGCATTTAAATTGGTTAGTTTACAAATATACCGTATGCGTTCATTTAATACATTAGCATCGCTAATGAACGTCGATGTAAAACAATATTCCTGAAATTGTATAATTACCGTTGACGCGTATATCCGATTGCGTAGTTGATCGTGTAAGCTTTGGATGGAATTATAAATAAAGCCCTGTCGCTATAATGCGACCATTGTGGTAGCGGAAGAGAAGGTCATTAATAATCGCTATTTGGAAAATCAAAAATTCGATGAGAACCACGGAAATAATATAAATAATACGGCCTAACCGCTATTCTAAAATCCAATCTGATGATGAAATTTAACATTAATTTATGAAAATTACTCGATTATTTCCATATCTGCTTCGTAACACTGTCGTTTATTTTTTATTTTTAATTAAATTTTTTTTGTTTGTTGTCTATTATTTTTTTATAGTTTTGCATGATAGAACAGATCATAAAATCCGTCAGTTTTACGAGTTAGTCCTCAGCTTTGGCTGCAACTTTACATATATACATACAATAGCGTACTGCGCAACAATGTGCACTATCGGATTTTGCCTGAAACGGCTGCACACAAAGACATTTATGTTTGTAATAAATCCGTTTCGTAGATTGATTTTTGCGAATTTTTCCACGCTAACAATTTCCTGCTGCAAACTATCAAAAAAATAAAACACCTAAAATAAAATATCATGATCCTCCTTATTATTGTGTTTGTTGTCAAGGGCGAAATCCGCAACTCATGTTGGAATGTAGTTTGTCGTATCTGGGTCGGCGATGTTACTTGTAACGGTGTGTGCGATTTATTGACGTGTAACCGAACGTCGACCGGTGTCAGCACCTATAAAGTTCGCCCATATTTTCCTACCTATACACGTTCTGGTAATACGTAGGAACATCCACATTTGGACATCCAACACAGCGTAGTTTGTCTGTAGAACGGTATGACAGCGATTTTACTATTTCGAAATAGGGAAGCCCACGGTCCGTTGATCATTTGACGAGATAGAAGCGGAAAACGGCGCCAGAAAATGACCAACAGGTCAGCGCTTATCCCGCCGCAACCGTACCTATTAAAATCGCAATAAATTCCCGTGATAATACGACGTCACGCCCGGACTATAAGTCACCGTTTTTTTACGTTTTATAGGACGAAACGGCTTCACACATAATTTCGTAATTTTGCAATTTCCCCACAAGACGGCGTAGAGTTAATTCATCATTCCGATCAAGTCGACCTCGCGCGAGCGTAATATCGGATCGTAAATCACAAATCGCGAGAGGTAAATCCGGTATTCCTTCGGGTTCCCGCGGGGGTTGTGTGGTGGCGGCAGTTACCCAACCGGCGGCGGTTAACTCGAAATAACGTTTCACGGTTTTGCATATCCCGAAAGGAGTGCCCGGTTCTTCGCGTGCATTAATAAAGAGCCCCGCCAAACGCTGTGGTGCAACGCGCGCGAAAATTAAATTCACCGTAAGAACTCTCGATTCCAGCGAAATGAGCTTTCGACCTTTGACCCCGCCCCTATCTCTTTTTGGAGGCCATAAGGCGGTGCTCGTTCAGGGGTCATGGAACGTATGCTACTTTTCTGCGAAATCTTCTCAGCCCGCCTCCCTAATTCAATTCGAAAGGACGAGGATTTCGAATCGACCCGCTCAATGATATTTAACTGAAAGTGGCACGTCTGAAGCTACCATTGTCAGCATCGGTAGCTTGAAAAGCTCGCGATTTAACGAATAAGCTCCAACCCCTAACGGTCCGATGCACTCTTCAATAGCTCATTTTCAAGCCGGTTTCATTTTCTATTGAAAATAGATATTTTAATAACAGCAATAAGCAAACCATTAGCATTACGGTAGTCCCTCCATTTACGCGGCATTTTTTTGCATAAGAACTATTCATGAAAATAAAGACAAAATTCGAAAAAGTGTTGATTTCAGTCAAAATTTGTTAGGATTTGTAGAGAAGGAGAAAAAACTTGAAAACGTGTTGATTTTATGGTGAGGATCAAACTCAAAAAAGTCACTCTAAGCTCTGGACTCGTAAGAGCTAAAGCTACAAAGCTCTACAACATTTTTTGAAAAAAAATGCTTTCAAGAGAACTCTAGAAAACACAACTTTGCTGCTTCAGCCTTCAGACCAGGTATTATAGCTACATTCAAGGCATATTATACTAGAAGAATTTTTAAGAAGTTGCTAGATAATGTAGACAATGATACCGACCTAACTTTACCACAATCCTGGAAAAATTACAACATTGCTAATTGCATAGAAAATATCGAAGTCGCGAAATGAATTGAAAAAATTCACATTGAATTAGGTTAGTGGTGTAAAATCTGGCCAAATATAGTCCCATCAAAGAAGCTATCAGATTTCAACTGTCAGATATTGAAGAGCTACTTGAGTTACATAATTCTGAACTGAAAGAAGAAGAGCTGGCAGATTTAGGAACTAATGATAATCATGAATGCAGTGACAGCGATGAAAAAAACGAATACACTTTTCAAGCTATATTACTTTTCAAAATAGATAATTTATTGTTACAAATTGGAGAAAGACTAACAGATATGTTGATAGAACATAGAACGAAGTTTGGAAAGGCATAACGTAAGATCTGTAATGCTTTAACACATTATACAAACTTTTGCAACAGAAACTCCAAAATGAAACAAATCATTAGTAAAATATACAAGCTGGCCCGTTGAAACGAGCTGAAGAGCATAACTGCCAGGGAAAGATTTTATCGAAAAAAACCTGAAACACGTCAAATTTGTTTCTCACTTTTGACGCAAAAATTATAGCCCAAACTTTACCCTCCTAGAATAAATTCTTAGCCCTTAAGAAAGGGCTTAACCCAATAAATGTTCAAAGTTAGCACCACCAATGCATACAAGTGTATAAATTTTGTTCAAATTTTTGCCTAACATTTTGCAGCATTTCAGTGATTGTTATCCTGAATTCATCAATAATGCGCTGGCGTAACTCTTCCAACGAGTCGCACTCGGTAGGATAAACTTTTGATTTTAAATACCCCCATAAAAAAATCTAAAGGGGAGAGGTCTGGATATCTGGCTGGCCATTCTATAACACCTCTTCGACCTATCCATTGACCGGGAAAGTTTCTATCTAAGAACTCCCTAACAGCAACGGCATAATGCGGTGGAGTACCATCTTGCTGGAAAAATATCGTTCTCAACAATGACAATTAAGGTACACCAAGTCTTCCAACATTTCGTCCAATGATGCGATCTCCAAAACTACCAGCAAAAACATTGAGTTTTCGTGAAGTTTGACGAAAACGTGAGGGTTTTCATCTGACCAGTATCGACAATTATAAAACAAATATTTAAAAGAAATTACGTACTGTCATTTATTTTTTGAGAAATATTTTCGCAAAATTGCAATCGCCGGTCATAATCACATTCATTCAATTCTTGAACTAACTTTATTTTATAAGGATGGAACTTAAAGTTTTGCAGAATTCGTTAAATAGTTGTTTTAGGAACATTAGTAATTGCAGCTATTTTTCTTGTACTTACAGTTGGATTTGCACTAACTCACCCTATTACTTCCAGGTTTGTGAGTTCATTGACTACAGGAAATCCACGTTCAGGGTTTCTTTTTTTATTAGCCACCAATCCAGTTTCTCGGAACTTATGTATCAACTCTAGAACGTACTTATGACGAACACCTATAAGGATGCAGGTTATTTCATTGACAATTTCAACTCTTTCGCTCGTAGCAGTTTTCAAATGTCTGCCTGACAACAAAACTTGGTCTGTCGTTCCTCTTGACTTTCTAAAACCACACTGGTATTCTCCAATGAATACCATTCATTCCCTTATAATTACTACATTCGAACTTGTCTCCTTTTTTTTATACTGGGATGATGATGCATGGTGAACAGCCATGTATCAGGAATGATCTAACTTTTCCAAATGTCTTCGGTTGTCTTGTGCAGCTCTTTTGGTCACAAATTGCTCTGGATTGCTTCTTCTACGTCGCCGAGTGTCGGCTTATCAGTGAGCGACCGAACCCTCCTAATTCCATATAATTCAATACATCAATTTACGCGAGATTTTCGTGGTTCGTAACCCCGCGTGAATGGAGGGACTACTGTATTTGATGACCTTTTTCTTTTCAAAAATGTCAATAACCTATTTTAATTTCACCTTCACATTTAAAATGTCATAATTTGGTGTTAAAACTCAGAACATTAAAACTAATAAAGAGAAAACATATTAATTTAAAATGGTAGCGAAAGCCAAAAGCTTTTATTCGGAAACTAAATTACTTATAGTACTAATTGAACTCCCGCAGTTTGCATCTGGTTCGGACGTATCCAGACGAGTTCACCTATTTAATTTATTT